CTTCGCTGCCGTGTTTTCTGGCTGTCAAATTGAGCAAAACCACGTTTCTTTCAACTGAGAATTCCAGTCACAGTGACACTCAGTTATCTACTTTTGATCACTTTCGTAAARATAATCAATTCTGAAATCTTTTATTAATATTTCTATTCAATCTTTGGACATTTCTTTGTATTCGTTTTAAAGTTTTAGAATGATAAATATTTAAAATAGCTATAGCGATTCTTTCTCGCTTCACATTTGCCTCCTTGGCGTTTATTACACGAAATTTGATTGGCTAACGATCGAAGTTCGTGATGTATGGAGAATTTGTATTTTGATATGAGAATCAAATTCAAATAGAGATTTATTTTCTTGCAAGTGGTAGTGTTTTCCCTTAGTATTTATTTTATAAAAGCTCTCGGGTTTGCATAACTGTCTCGAATTCACCCAACCTCCCCTCGTGTTGCTATTAGGCTATGTAAACACGGAAAAAGTTTTCTATTGCTTAAATATCAACTTTGAGCGATGACCTGAGCTGGCAAACTGTCTGGGTAAGTGTATATTGAATTTTTAACGAGAAAAAACTCAGTCCCCCACAATTCTAATCGGTCTCAGATTTCTGAATTCAGATATTCAACCTGCGTTTTTTGAAATAGGTGTATAAACACCCCAGAAACATTTAGTTAAATTTACTTTACAGTGCTTTAATGTTTTACCAGAGACCGCGGAGGGGGGAATAAATAAGTATGTCGTAAATGCCCCTCAAAACAATAGAAATCGCACTTTCAACTGAGGGTCTCAGTTTAAAACTTTTTCGTGGGTTTTCAGCCTTTGGCGGTTGTTAGCCCCTCCAATCATATCACGCTCCGCGGTCCGTGTTTATGAATGTATTAATAAATTAACAATAACCTTGCACCTGTCAGTAAACAATAGAACAAAATGTAGCCCATTAACATTACAAGGGGGTAGGAGGCTTTTCACAGCCGATGGCATGCATGCCGTCACATAACAGAGAATAACAGTTAAGGAGCATGTGTTTTTTTCTTCTTAGCCATATTTCATCGATCATTCCAAGAACTCAGTAATAGCTCATCGAGGAAGGTAACTAACATTTACCTTTTAAGTTGCCATAACAAATCTTTTGTCAAAGTTAGCCAGCATGTAGGCTATGACGTCACTTGCACCCCACGAATAGCATTTGTGATACGAAAGGTGAAAAAAGAAACACTTGAAACGTTAGGCAAATTATTGTGGACCACTGGAAACGAAATAGGAAAACCAACTAAAACAAAGAAAACTAAAGGTGAGGATTTTAAATTTAAAAAAGTAGAAGAACAGGAAAGATAAAAAAGTAAGAAAACTTTGTTTAACCATTTATCAACTAAAACATTGCACACTGCTTGCGTTAAGGCCCTGCACACGGTCCCAGTATTTGATCCATTATTTAGCCCATTATTTGACCCAACATTTGCCCAACATATAATCCAACATTTAGCCAACGTTTTCAGTCAACATTTTGACCAAACCATGAGAAATGGTGCCAACATTTGACCCAACGAAAGTTGGGTAAATGTTTGGTCAAATGTTTTGATTGGTTGTCAGGGCGGTGAGAAAATTAAAATATAAAATAAAATAAAATAAAATAAAAATACAATACAAAATGTTGGCAATACGTTTTAAAAAACGTCTTGCTCGAAAATTCTTTCGGAATTCGGAGGACGGACCCTGTTGAGTGGTACAAACATTCATATCTCTGGACAACAATATAAACCAAACCAAAATTTTTTTTTAAACTTTCAATTTTAAAAATATTGATAAATTACAGACGTTTCAGTTTCAGCTTTTTACATCAACCCAATTTTGAGTATTTTTTTGAAATTTCATTCGAAATTAAGAATTTTAAACCGCAATGGGTACTCGGTGACTAAAAATATTTACGTTTCTATAAGATCCTTTTTATGTTAACAAGACTTTTCTAGTTTATTCTAAATTCAATAATAGAACGATTGCGTTATGGCGTCCTTTACTACCACTACCAAAATCCCTTGAACACTTGTTTTTGTTCAGTTAATGACCAGTAATTGTCTTGCTATTCTAACTGAGGGAATACGATTTAGAATCAGAGGCATTTTTGTTGGTGGTAGTAAAATGTCGCCATCATGCAAACGGACTAGAGTATTTATTTTTAACATCAATAACAGCGGATTTCAACCTTGTTTAGGTCAGAAATGCTAACGCACGTGATCATCACGCTGTTATCATTCCTTACACACGCGATCGCCCAGTTTCAATGTCAAGGCACCTGCTATTCGGGGTCTTTCCCAAAGGGCAATGACGTCATCGCTGGACAACATCTCAGAGGATACTCCTATAAGAACATATCTACTGATGTTCCACGCGTTTGCTTCTCGTCCTGTTTCAATGACTGTCGTTGCAATGCGTTCCAGATGAAAGATGTCAGGTGTGAGTTGCTGGATGAGGACAAGACTTCCAAGGCAGCAGACTTTGTAGATGGAACCGGATACGTGTACTATGATCTACAGCAGAAACTCTATAAAGGGGTAGGTGTAAAATATCCATAAACTAAAATGGCCCAAAAGCCACAAATAACATAAACAAAAAATCATATTACCAGCGGCTATAATGACAGGCAAACACTACCCGTCCTGTGGCATTGATAAACCAAAAAGCTAGTATTTTATTGCTTGATAACAATCTGCTGATTAAGCAAAAGAATCTAATAGCAAAACGAGGGGGATTTTGAGAGAGTTCGAGATGGTGATGCAAACCCGAGTCGCAGTCGAGGGTCTGGATGACTATCGAGAATTCTCCCAACCCTCCGAGTGTTGCTATCAGGCTATGTAAACACAGATAAAAAATGTTTTCTATTGCTTTTGTAAAATAAATAGAATAATTTAAGTAGGAAAACATGAAACTGTTTTGAATAAGAAATTCAAGATGATCTTTACGTTGATAGAAATCCTCGACGCCTTAATTGGAAAATGTGACGAAAACGTTTGACACGAAGCCACGAAAAAAAGCAGTTGATTTATTCAAATTTCATAAAGTATAAATGCTAAAATGCCGAACAAAATAATCAATATGCAAAGTATTTTTCAACTGTATAGTGAAGGAAATCGTTTAGAAAAGTGGAAATTCGTTGGGAAATTTGGAACTGAAACCGAAAACGTTGTGGGTCGTCTTTGACGATAAAGGAGGCGACGATTTTTAGATGATTTTTTGCATAACTGTTTTTGAAATCAATGTGCAAGCATTTTCCTCCTTTCTTCAAGAACGCTTTAAGAATTTATAACTTTTAATGAATTGTTTCATATATTACGACTTTCTTGTTTTGTTATGTTATTTGTTTGTTTGTTTGTTTTTTGTTTTTTGTTTTTGTTTTTTTGTTTTTTGTGGTTTTTTTTTTTTTGTTTTTTT